ATACACATAATTATATATAAAAACATATATACGTTTACAAATATTTATATATATAAATAAAAGAGTATATATATGAACGAAATATATATTGCAGAAAAAAATAAGAATTTAAATTAAAAATTCCTAACTGAACTGTTAGGAATGAAAAATTCGCAACATACAAAACGAAAAGAAATAAATTATTTTCGCTAAATTTAAATTATAATTAATTAATTAATTTTGTATTCAACAAAAACTTAATTTTCTATAAACCAAACAAGCAATTTTAATTGCTTGATTTAAAAGTAAAATAAGCACACTATAAAAAATGCTTTTTTATCCAAACTTAAGTTTACCAAAACTAATTATAAAAATCAAATTTATATAATAAAATAGCATTTTAAATGCTTCAATGAATAATGCAAAAATTAAGTTGAAAATAAAATATTTTATATACGTATTAACAAAATATTTAACTATGTTTAATATAATTTAAAAATATTATTTCAAATTCTTATGCTTTAAATTTTAAAAAATAAATGACCTTAAAGTAATTTGAAAGCTTAAAGATATTTGCTTTACACATAATAGCGTACTGGAGAATATATTTAATATTGTCTTATTTATTATAATTTTTTTATTTGCTAACTTTAGTATTATAAATTAATAAAAAATATATTTAAAAAATTAAAGTAAATTTCGTTTTGATTTATTTTTTTAACGTAACAGAAATAACTATATATAGCTTTTATATCATTTTTTAGTTTATTTCACACATTAAACCTATAATTCATTTTCACTTTATAAAGTGTTTATTTTATGTTCATTATATTAGTTCAAATAGTTATTTGGGTTAATTTCAAATATTGTTGTTCAAACTATGAGAAATAAGTAAACTAATGATTCGTTTAAACATAGAAAATAAATATAGCCGAAAATATGATTTAAAATTAAAAAAAAATATCAACATACAATACAATATTACAATATAATGCAAACACAAAAATAGTTAATAACTAACATTAGATATAATTAAATAGTGATATATGTAGTTTAGTTGTAAAGTATTTTTCCAATTAAATTAAATAATGTATACAAAATTTCAAAATTGTAAAAATAGAAATAAACAATTTAAATTAGCCAAGTTACTTTAATTTCATTTACTTTATACTTATAATGTTACGAATAATTGAAATGTATTGTAATTAAACTCGTAAAATGTTTTGATCGATATGCGGGCGTAAGATAAATAATAAATTAATAAATTTTATATATTATATATTATATTAACATTTCCTTCCATGTCAAGCCACCTTTTGAAACTCTTAAGCCCAAATATATGACAAATTATACATAAATATCGTTGAGAATAATTATAATTCTTATAAGAACATAACGAAAACATTTCATGATATTGAAAGTTACTTGGCTGTTCAAATATATACAAAAACAAAAAGAAAAAAAAAGAATGATATGAATAATAAAAAGGAAATCATACTTTGTGCCTAACAAAAAATATTTAGAAAATTTAAGAACAGCGTTAAACTAAAAAAATTGCAATAGTTTTAAATGAAAAATTGCAATATTTTTAATTCTGTGGAATAAAAGCAACAAAAACAAACTAATTTATTTATAATTATAATAAGAAAATATAATTTTAATTTTTTACGTTATCTTATATATCAATTTAATTTTTCATAGGGTTGTGTCCTACAACATATATATTATTATAATAAAAATAATTCGAAAAATTATTTAACATCTCTTCATGCTTTTTTTATCAATTATTTACGTTTGTTACTTTTTTTTTATTTTTTTAAATTCATTAATTAATTGTATTTCTTTTTTATATAAATAAATTCTTTATTTATATTATTATTAATGACATTTTTGCTGCCCAAACAGGAAGTTTAAACGTTGGAACCTTTAAAATATAAAAAGTATGTACTCGGACTTTCTTAATTTTTTTTATATTGAGGTGATTAAAAATTTAATTTTTTATACAAGTGAAGAAATTGTTTGTGAAACGCAAATAATATTTATTAGTTATTTTTTTTTTTGGTTTTTATTATTTCTTTTATTACTTTTAGTATAAAATTAATCAAAATAAAAATTATGTTTTCATGTATATTATTTCAAAATATTTATATAAAATCGATTGCTTCTTATACATATACAATAACTCGTATTTTTTATGGTTTATCAGTTCATATTATTAATTAATTTGAACAAAACTTAAGTAAAATAAGCACTTTTAGTTAATTTTATATTTGTAATATGCAAACACTTTCTTGGCGAATTTTTAATAGTTAATTTTTTTTATTATTCAATGCAATAATCGATAAAAAGCATTGAAACTACAGTGGGACAAAAAAAATCTGATTAATTAATTTATTTTATATCGTTTTCAATACAATTTAGTTAAACTTTTGTAATTTACATACATTTTCATTAAACTAAATAACAAAACTATTGAGGAAAAAACGAAATTATTGGAATTATATACACAATAAATGTATATAAAAGACATCAATTAGTAAGACAAAACGAAATATATACATATATATTTACCAATAGAGCATATTGTGTAATACAATACAATTATTATAATAGAAAGTATAAAATTAATTAATATTTATAAAATTATTATATTATAATAAAAAAGAAAAGGTAAATAAAAATGAAAAGAAAAATTTAAAAAATTTTTTTTTGGTGTTGAAAGACGTAATACCTTATACTTAAGCCCAACAAAATATATCTACATATGCTTCAGATTTGTTTGAAATTCAGAATGTGTCATTAATCAATATTTCTCCTAATTCGGTCATTAATCTGCATAGGTATTATTACTATATAATTTCTATATAATGGAGCAGAATATATGCCTATTATATAGGAATAACTTTTAAGGTCACCATTTAAAAAAAAAATCTTTTTAAATCGAATTTTTAGTTTCAAGTCGCTGTAGCGATCTGTACGAGCGGAATATAAGCTATAACATTTTATTTAGGGCTGCCAAGCATACACAAAAATTAATCGAATAAATAATTCACTTAAATTTTTTCCAAACGCATTATATATTCTGACATTCTTAACATTTAATATATTTTAACATTTTAAAAAAATTTTAAACAAATTATAAAATATATCAAAATTGTCAATTTTAATAGTCGATATCTCAGTAATCTTGCAAATAAGCAAAAAACTATTAATGAATTAGGACATTTTCACAATTACATAGAATTTATAATGTTAATTTTTTCTCGATGAGAGTGACGCGTCTTTATGACGAAAAGAAATTAAAAGTTAGACGGAATGGATAAGCAAAGAAAATAAAAAAAAAAATTTTAATTTATTTATTGCAATTTGGCTGACTATACAACGCTATTTCGAATATTGCCATGTACTAATTATTAGTGGTCTTAGGAAATATTCAAATTTCTTTTTAATTAGTTTATAGTTCGTATATAATTTGTTTGGACTGCAAGTGCCAGGCTTAGAACTCGTGACTGTCACATTAGAAGCGATGACTAATCGTGTTTTTCCACAAGTAGACAAAACACAATGGTCAAGTTCTATGTTAGGTGTTTTGTCACATTTTACTTTTTAAGTAACACTAACCAAAACAATTGCCGTGCTTTTGAATTAGAACAATCTTATAAGTAGAATTTATATACAGTGAAATTCCCCTAACTCGAATCAACAAGGAGACGGAGAGACTTTTTACCACTCTGCTTTAAATTTCCAAGGTTTTTAATGATTTGAATATATACACATCACATTTTTATTTAAAATATTCGATTATATGTATTGGTTTTCTGTTTTCTTGTTCTTTTTCTATATAATTTGCCAAATTATTTAATTGAAATATATCATCCAGTGTGTTTGCTTGGAATGGATAAATATTCAAATTGTCTTGATCGCATGTTTATTTGCGACAATTATATCTGGAAACTGTTTTATGTTTTCTTTAATAATACTACCCAACAGAGGTAGATTTTTTGATCTTGCAGTAATCATCCATTGTAACATAGCTTCATCCACATCATCATATTTACATATTCTAGGGGAATTTTATTTTATATATATATATATTATTCAACAATAAAAGTAAATATAAATGTTCGAAATATATTGTATTACATGGAACTTTCAATCAATCAGAATAAATAATTTTTTGTCCCACACAAATTAGATCAGTTTTCCATGCATGTTAAGACCACAGCCCATTGTAATTCTAAACCAATTACTAGTCATTCAGTGCTGATATTTCTTTTAGCAGATATATTCAATAAATTCCAAACAAATGCGTCCGAAGTAATGTTTCGTAATGAAAAGGGCACCTATATGACTCCCCCCAAATGTGATGTAACAATGACGAAAAAATGACAGGCTTGGAATGCAATAAGTTGAATTGAGTTTCAATGTTAAGATTTTTTTTCGTATTTCTAGAAAATTATGTGTTTTCTTTATATTTTAAATTTATACTCAAAATCTATCAAAAAAAAATTGAATTACTTTCGTCTTCATAATTTAATCCTGCTGTATTGAAGCGAATTTCTGAAGACTAGATACCAACAACAATACAATGGATATGCGCTATTTGGAAATAAAGTTACATATATACTTATTTAAAAAAAGGTAAAGATTTCATTATACAAATTTGTGCAAAAGAAGTAATCATTATCCTTTCATTTATATTATAACATAAAAAATTTAAAAAAACTTTGACGCTGTCAAAAGGCTTTAAAGTGTGAACATAGCTGCACTTTTACTTTTGCTACAGATAAAAAAAATTGTGTGGTTCACATATAAGTGAAGTGTTATTTCCAGTCTGATTTAGGTGTGGTGTGGTGTGGTTCATATCGCTGACGGGTGCTTTTTACTTATGGGAGTATATACACAATTTGCGTAAGCAATTTTTTATATAAATCTTCAATTTTAACTTATTTGTCTTGAAAGTTGAATTTAAAATTATAAACATTTATTAATTTATCATATTTAATCACTTAAAAAGTAAATACATAATAATTTTATATACATTATAATAGAAATTACTGCTTTGAATAGCCAGTCTTCGTTTTGCGATTGAGGAATTTATACAAATAGATTATACGTTTATTCAGATGTTTCCATTTTGTTGGTCGCGCGTCTGGATATAGTGTTTTCGACATCATTTTGCGTTTACGCAGCAGAACTTGATATTCGTTGCCAGAAACACCACGCAACCAAGCCGGCACAGAGTATAGAACTCGAGTGGGATGTAAACTATCATTACCAAGTATATCAATATAATCATTTTGCCCGAAAAGCGCACGCTTTTCATTCCATGCATTTTTGGGTCTATATTCAGGCATAGGTAACTTTTGTCCGTTATCTAAATGCGGCAACAAGCCCCTTTGCAAAATTTTTTCTTTATAACCATAGCTGCGAACTAATGGCCCGCGTGCTCGTTTCTCTTCATGAGACAATTTTCGTATATTCATGTAACCAGTAACACTTGCCACTGGAGATACATTTTGTGGTATTTGCTGCGTTGTAACTCTGAACACTAACTTTCGTAATGAATTAGCTAAAAACGACATAATTATGAAAACAAAACTAACGCGAAATCGATGTTAGGTAATTCGGTGAACAAAATAAATAAAGAAGTTCACAATAGCAAACTGTCATTCCAAACTGTCATTGCTTTCAAATTTTGACATATTTCATTCACAATTAACAATTCAAAACTAAGTTAATTCAATTAAATTTAATTATCTACCAGACTTACTCAGCGAAAACAATTTGTTTTATTTACAATTCTACTCGTTTAATTGGCTTTGCTGAAAATGTACTTGACAATAATCTTTCTTTTATTTTATTTTATTTTTTATATTTGTTTTTGTAAATACGATCGATACAGCAATATATGTGAGTACTCAATGAATCCGATGCTGTTCGTGCACTAAATGTTTGAATCAAAATCAACGAAGTCAGCATTCATAGCACATTATGTATACTGCGTTCACTCTAGCGTCCAAAATTTAGTCCATTTTAAAATGATTCCATTCAAAAGTGTTTTGACTATGCATTTTTCATAGAGACATGTCCGTCTGTCATTGGTTTTGTTCTCTTGGAGTTCACCTTGATATTGACTTCATCAATTTTGGCACTGATTTGCTTTTTACAAATTTTAAAAATGGAAGTTATAACAAAAATTTAAAATATCCAAAAAAAATTAAAACATTTAGTAATTCATGTAATTCGACATTTACATGATAACACAATGGGCATGTTTTTTTGCCAATCGAAATATCATAGTTAATATCTTTTATATTTACATTTACGTCTTTCTCAATTTTATAATTATATTTAAATTCTTAAAATAAAAAATATTTTTATTTATCTTCTTCTTCTTGAGTTAGTGCTATTACGCACTTTTACTCTATAATGACTGGGGGGTTAATCACTACCCCACACTAGGCTTTAACTAGGCAAAAAATCATATATATTTATATTGCAACAACTTAGAAATTTTTATATCATAAATATAGATTTATATTAATTCAAAAATGATATAATCCAAATAAATATGTCAACTTCCTTATTCGCTAGCATGTTTTGTTTATACTATGTTCTGACAACCATATTTCCTTAATTTCGTAAAAATTAAATTGAGTTAGTTTCGAAAGTGTTCATAATGCCCCAAATTAAGGAAATCATACGTTTTTTGTTTACATTCAAATGTTAAAAATTACATACTTCAAACACTACTTGTATCTGGGAAATTTTAAAACTTGATTATTATAATTACAAAGGATTCGCAATAATTAGTATTTTTTCTTAAATTATCATTCTTTATCTTCAAAATGAAAAAAATTAAAATGGCATTTACACTGATCCCAAATGACCCATTTCAAACCAGTCATTTAGAAGTGTTTACTCTTCATTTGTTCTCATTTCAAACAGCTGATTAATCAACGTGCCTGTTGATATGATTTTTGGTCTGTGCTAAGCAAATGTTGTATGAAAGTGAAATATATCTTTAATCAATTAGCTTCGCTTAAGTACGAAGTAAAAAGTTCGTTCCAAAAAGAGGTGCATCGTTTTTAAGGAAATGCAACCGTCAAATATTTGTTTACCTTTTTTTTGTAAATATGTCAAAAACAGCATTTGAAATCAATTTTAATCGCCAGTATAAACGCAGTTATAAAGCGGCTACTCTAATTTTCAACACCTTAAGCAATGTCTTAAATTTTATTTATATGGAATTCTCAGCTGTTCTATTCTTTTCAATTTAATCAGTTTAACAGAAATTATACAGTTTTCGTGAGCACCTACAATACTTACACACTAGCACTCAAGATGATTCCATTTTCGTTCATCGTTATTTTTAAGTAATACGAATTGATTAGAGGTATTTCCACTGACATTTTTTAAATTTCGCTTTGAAAGCAAAGAAATTATTTTGCAATATATTACATACATGTAATTTGATAGGAATTCACACTCACAATATATTCATTAATACTTGTAAGCATTACAAGATTCGTGCATTTTTTGCTGATAAATTTAAATTTCGTCGAAAATTCTGTTAAAAGAATGTAAAAGAAAAAAAAAAGAGTAATAGAAAAACAAATTTTTTTGGAATAAATGTTCTTAAGTTAATGAAGTTAATTAATGCATGATGAAAAATGAACAGAAAAATTTACAAATATGAATATAAAGTCAAATTTCTCGCATATGTAACTAAAAGTGATAAGTACAATAATACTATTAGTACAACGTGATAATTAATTAGATCTCTTCACAGTTGTAATACATAAATTACAAATTTATAGTATATTAAGACTCTCATACTTAACGGTTTTTGGGTTTACCCCTTTAAGCATTCATAGTTTTTGTCCACATTTGCCGTACACAACCCATTTAAATAAGTCCATTGGCTTAAGAACTATTGCCTTATATTCAATGTGATCATTATGAAGGCCAGTTCAGCAAAAATACAGTAATCAAATAATTTATATTTTTTCGTCTGAAATCGATTTTATTAAATATATTTAAAATAAAAATAGACGAAAATATTATATTTTTCATTATTTACTCATAAATTTAACTACGAACAATAACAAGATATGGTAGTGAATCATACTGAAAAACAAATTGGCAACAAAATAAAACAGTGACTTTTATTCGCTAAACTCTGTTAGTCGAAGTGTAAACTCCTAAACTTTTTTTAGACAAAATTTGCTAACTGAGGATAGACGAGCTTAAGTCTAAACACAATATTAATTTTAACTTCATTTTGTATGAAATACAATTCACTTGTCGGTAACAACCTGAGCAAAGTATTAACAAAATTAATACTCTAATAATTCCTATAGTAAAATAATATTAGCTGTCCCCTTTGAATAAGCTTTAAATAAGCTGTTGTGACAGAGCGTTTACACTATATCAATTAACGCATTTTCACAATTTATTCACTAAAATGAATTTTTAAAAATATTATAAATAAAATAGTGTATTTTGCTGTGATTGAGTTTATTTTATATTTTATATTATATATTATTTATATTAAGCATAATAAACATAAAAATATATATATTGTTTAATTTTTTATAAATTAATTTTATTAAATTTATTTTTTAATGAAACATTTTATTTTATTTGCTATTCATTTTTGTTGTTTTTGCTAATTGAGTCGTTACTTTATTTAATTGTGCTATTATCGCCAATTGTAAAGTGCGCATGTAGTATACGATTTATATTAATATATAAGATATAAAAGATTTCAGTTACTTTCGTGAAAAATTGTAAATCTATACATTCTTCGTTGTTGTTCCCCATACTAACAAAGACTTGCTTTGATAGATGTGGTACAGTATTTAATAACAGGCGATTCTTTAGATGATTGCGATATAACGGAGTACTCAAACTGATACTGTAGCGATATTATGATTTGCTGCTTTTAAAATTATTTCACAACAGTATCGAATACAACAATTGGTTACAAAATAATAAGCTGTATGGTAAAATTCTTTATTGTATGTTTCTCAGGAATTATACAGTCCTATCAGTATCAAAATAGAAAATCTAAGAAATTTGTGAAACTGCAAACCACATCTATTTTTTATAATTATAAAGATTTTTATAGATAGATGTGGTGTAGCATAAAATGACAGACAGTACGTAAGTTATTTGTGACATAAACCAGAACTTAAACTTATACTGTAACAATATCATGATACGTTGATTTCAAAGTTGGTATCGAAAACGACATAATTGGTTACTTGGTTGGTTCGAAGGATAGCCACTCGTCATGTAGAGGTCCAAGTCTCACTCGAAATCCCTCAAAGGGGAAGGGGGAGAAAATTTGTGTGATAATTGTATGTTCCAGTAATTATACGAATCTGCCAGTAGTAAAATGAAAAAGCTTATAACATTGTGAAACTACATTGTGAAACTACACTACCAAGATTTAAAATACCGAGTATACCGCAATACATCTGTCTAAGTATTTTTTTTTCTATCATAACAGTATGATGATATACGACAATATCTACGAACGATTGATTTACGATTGATTGTTATAGCAAAAATATTTTGCTAAAGCGGAAGTAAAACCAACTATCACTATTGATTTTAGAATATCATTGATTTTTTCGCTGCGAATATTTTTGACTTCTATTAAATTTTGGTAACTTCAAGTAATATTCCTTAGGTTTACTAAGTATCAAAAACCAATCACTCATAATTATATTCATACTTAGTCGTCCCAACTTTTTGTGAGACGTTTCCTCAATATAAATATATACAGATTTATCCACAATCCTTCGCTAACTGTCGCGAACTGTCTCTTACCTTGTACTCTTCTTTTACATATTATTCTGTGCTCCTGTCATCCCGTTATACTACAACTGCGATTTCATCGTATTAACAAATATATTCAGACATCGTTTCTGAAAGTCAAAAGAATAAGACAAATACTTTTCTTATTTCGACTTTATTCATTAAATTATTTAATTCCAATAACTTACATAAACACGACGATATGACTCTTATTTACTAATTTATTAATTGTTATAAAATTGTTGATGTTGAAATATCTTTGACTTAATCTTGAACATTTTTGTATCCGTATTTGAATTCAATTTTTAAAAGCATTTAAAAGAATACATCTAATATTTGATAGGGCATCAAAAAAAACAACTTATTTGTTCCTCCTACTAGATTCAGATGCTGTTGGTGGTGGTGGTGGTCCACGTTTATGTAGTTCTTCTAAGTAGTTTATGACAATAGATGTACGTTCCTCTGACATGTGATCTAGTACCAAGTATCTAATAAAGGAAATATAATAGTTTTAGATTCTATTTAAGAAAATTAAATATTTAATAGTTTAGTAGTAGTTTTATAATAGTTTTAGATTCTTTATAAGAAAATGAATGTACCTTTTGTCATTTTTTAGTATATCCTGAATTTCCTTCAGATGATTTCCATTTTCTTTTACTATATCAAAACTTTTATGTGTAATAAGTTTGCACTCTTGTAGAAGTTCGCGTAATGCGACTTTAGCGTTTAAATATTTATCTTTGATATAATCCCTGAATTCGCGTTCACATTTATCCGAGTTATTATACTTGAGATAACGTGGATCTTCCTTGACTAATTTTTTTATATCCTTCCATGAACTTGTCAGCTCAAGCGTTGATATTTCATCAAGCATTTCTCTGAATTTTTCTCGTTTCTTTTTCATCAGTGTATCAATATGTTCGTTAAAAATTCTGCAGGATTAAAAATAAATATTATTATAAAAATGTAAGCATTATGTAAATTGAAATAAAATCAAAATTCAATACTAATAAAACTTAAATCTATTTCAAAGATAAGCTGACATATAATATTCTAAACTGAGAAAAAGAATCCAGCTCATATTTACTTTACATTATAAATATCCATGTCTCAATCATTGTGTTCTAAGCAATAATGATAAACTCCATTTTATTCGGTGTGAAAATCTTCAGAGAAGTTTTCTTGATTAAGTGTAACGAGCTCAGTAACCAATTAACATAGTAACAGTTCAAAGCGGCAATAATAAAATTTATTCATTCGAAATGTGTTTTGTTCTTGTCTATTCATTCTGCTGTTATATTTACTCAGTTACTAAGCTTGTTACACGACATAGTGAATAACACTAATGAGTTACTGCAACATTTAGTTCTTATTTTCCAAAATTACTAATGCTACTTTTTATTATTTTTAGTTTTATAGAACTATTATTTTAATAACTAATTTCAGCCTCATAATATAACTGAGAATTGACATCTCTACGCTTGTTGAAAACTTATATGGTACATATATATATAAATATATTTATAAATATTATTCATCCACTAACTACATATTTAAATATGAAAATACCTTTCGCGATCGTCTCGATCAAGTGACTCAATTAATTCCCAACGATGATCTTTACGCAATTGACGTTTAACCTCCTTCCACGTTAAATCTGGATTTCGAACCAAATCGGTTAATAAAGCGTTAAATTGTCCAATTGCCTCATCTCTCTTATGATGTTCCCTCTCCTTATCACGATCCCTTAAATGACCAGCAAGTGTCCTTTGAACTTCTTTCTCACGTTCTCGTATGCTTTGTTCAGCACGCATTTTACGATCACGCTCCTTTTGCAATCGCTCCTGCTCATCATCTTCGCTCGCTGAATTGTGCTCACTTTCATGATGTTCCCCTTCCTCATCCTACAAATAGTTTTATTTGGTAACATCCAATTTAATAAATTATTTATACAAGTATTTACCGATTCTGTTAATTTTTTTTTAACACCATTCTTTTCAATTTGTTTATCCTTGGTTTCCTTAGACTCCTTATCACTTCGATCTCTTTCCCTACTTCTGCTGCGATCTTTACGATCAGATTTTCGGTCATGTTTATTGCGGCGTTCACGATCACGTTCTCGTTCGCGTTCTCTTTCACGTTCACGTTCCCTCTCTCGATCTTTTTGTTCTCGTTGTTTGCGTTTTTCATCTTTAACCACACGTAGGTAATCCAAAAAGTATTCCTCACGATAAGAACTGTCTAGAACTCTGTACCTTGAATCTGAATCAAACTTCTTTTTAATATCATGCCAACGTGTATGCCGATCAATGTCAGAGCGTTCTCGCAGCATGTCAATAAAGTCTTTGCGTATCTGAATATTTTTACATATAATAAAAAAAGAGAAGAACAAAAAGATTTCTTAGTTTTATCTTATAATGGTTAAGTGGACCATTTTAGTTTAGACTTAAAGCTACTTATAGACAAACTTATCTTAAAACTAATTAAGTTTAAATACTAATTACAATATTTGCTGAAAAAGACTCAATGGATTAGTGCTGAAAAAAAGTTATATATTTTATTAAACTGTAACACATTAATGTAATAACTTAAAAAACTTAGAAGATAATTTATATAAATGTTTTACTTGTATAATTTTCGGAATATTGGACCGGACAAACGGACAAACTTCAACATTTTCTGCAACAAAATAATTATTTAACATTTGCTCTGTCGTTCGATTTGCGACTAAAATTTGATTTATAAAATAAATGCAGTAAAAAACAAACAAAGTTATTTTTAAACAATAAAATTTCGATATACAAATTAAAAAATTAAAAAAAATTAGCAAACGTTAAACATTATTTTTTGCTTTTATTTTCCTGTGAAAAAAATAAAATTTTATACTATTGTATATTCATACTGTTTTCTCCCATCTCTATTCAAGTTGCACCTCTGCTGTAGTTGCTTCTTTTATGGTTTGAGAGGACACCCGATTCGTTTCTGTTAGGTTCTTCACAACATCAACTTGAAAGCTTCTGCCCAATATCAAGACACCTTGCACAGGAAGCACTCCACCTCCATTCCCAGCGCAGATTTAGTCACCAATATTATCATGGGCTTTATTCTTTACGTAGTTTATAGAGGTTTAAAAAGAATGGATTTTTAGGTCAACGTTCATCTGATTTTATGAGGTTGTTATTTTTAAATCATTTGATTTTTTTTTTTTTTTTGGTAATTGTTTTGCATTGCAAATATTTTAACTCACCAAAACGCTTTGCTTAAAACGTCGTACAAGTGATATAACTTAATGAACGGTACAGCATTCTCCCCATTTTCTCAGATTTGTATGTTAATCTGTTGCATTGGGCCCGATCGGTTGGTGTCTTATATACATTGTGAGTCATTGAATATATAATTGAAAAAGTATGGTTGATCTCCTTCGAAATTGGTATAGCGCACACCAAAG